ATGAATGACAGATGCACGTATCTGCATGTATGGCTGTATCAAGGTCGCTATTGAGTCGCACGTACGGCATGTATGTATGGCTGTATCACTTTTAAGAGCTCTCAGAAACTATAGGTGGCGGATTCACATATCCACGTGTATGTATGGTTGTATCACTGTTGAGAGGTCTCCAAAGACATGGGTGCCAGATGCACACACCGGCATGTATGGCGCAGGGCAGAGCGGATGATGGCAGCACGGCCATCACAGCTGAATCTTTTAAGGCTCCTCAGAATTCATATTTCTACCCGCAATCGATGGTTAATGGCAGAGATGCACACACCGGCATGTATGGCGCAGGGTAGAGCGGATGATGGGAGCACAGCTATCACAGCTGAATCTTTTAAGGCTCCTCAGAATTCATATTTCTACCCGCAATCGATGGTTAATGGCAGAGATGCACACACCGGCATGTATGGCGTAGGGTAGAGCGGATGATGGCAGCACTACTGTCACAACTGAATCTTTTAAGGCTCCTCAGGATTCATATGTTTACCCGCAATTGATGATTAATGGCAGAGATGCACACACCGGCATGTATGGCGCAGGGTAGAGCGGATGATGGCAGCACTGCTGTCACATCTGAATCTTTTAAGGCTCCTCAGGATTCATATTTCTACCCGCAATCGATGGTTAATGGCAGAGATGCACACACCGGCATGTATGGCGCAGGGCAGAGCGGATTATGGGAGCACAGCTGTCACAGCTGAATCTTTTAAGGCTCCGCAGGATTCATATTTCTACCCGCAATCGATGGCTAATGGTAGAGATGCACACACCGGCATGTATGGCGCAGGGCAGAGCGGATGATGGCAGCACGGCTGTCACTGTTAAATCTTTTAAGGCTCCTCAGGATTCATATTTATGTTAGAAGTGAACCATTCACTTGATTAGGAATCATGAGGGTTTACATAGTTGAAGCTAGGGGAGGGGGGTTGGTTGGGTACCTAGCCAACATTATTGACCCCCCACCAATAAGTTGGGTTGGAGAATTGTTGGGGGGTCCTAATAATGTTGGCCAAAAATGGGCCAACATTATTGGGGGGGGCAATAATCTCTCAACTCAACCTTTGAGGCCATGGCGTGCGTCAGGGCCCCGACAAGCTCTGCATAGGGGTTAGAGGAGTTGGTGGGGGTGGCAGGGGGCGAGAGCTGGTGTCCAACTGCAAGCACGGTGGCGATGGGCTTGGCTTTTGACCTTCCAAATCTCTCAAGGACCTTCTCAATGTAGAAGGACTGAGAGAGGGAGATAGTCTTAGCCTTGAGGTCGCGGGTGATCTCCATGCCAAGGTAGTCGCGGACCTCCCCCAGGTCTTTGCAGGCGAGGCGACGGTGTAGTTCGTCCTTGATCTCCTGCATCTCAGCATTTGTGTCAGCGGCTAGTAGCATGTCGTCGACGTAGACGAGAATGTAGAAAGGGGATGGAGTCGTCCGAAGGAAGAGGCTGGGGGCAGCTCGGGAGGGGCGAAAACCAAGCTCGCGAAGGGTGGAAGAGAGCTTGGCATGCCACTCCCGAGGTGCCTGCTTGAGGCCGTAGACGGGCCGCAGCAGCTTCCAAACGGTGGACGGGTCATGTGGAGCGTGAAATCCTTTAGGGCGTTCCATGAAGATGAGTTTGTGTAGGTCGCCTTGGAGGAAGGCGGTAGTGACATTCATGGAGTGTAGCAGCATGCAGGGTCTGCCGACGAAGTCGAGGAACACCCGAACGACCGGTGGGGTAGCAGTGGGTGAGTATGTTTTGAAGAAGTTAAAGTCGTGCTTCTGCGTGAAGCCCTTCGCCACATAGCGAGCTTTGTAGACAAGGTCTTCGCCAGGGAGAAGCATGACACGGAAGAGCCATTTTCCCTTGAAGACATTGGTCATGGCAGGACGAGGGACGTCGATGAAGGAGCGGTTGTGGATGAAGGCGTTGCTCTCCTTGACCATGGCTTCAATCCAGAGTGGTGCGTTGAGGCAGGCAATAGCCTCCTCGTACGTGGTGGGTTCAAAGATGGTGGGGGTGCCCAAGAAAAGAAGTACTAGAGTGCCTGCCATGGTGCAAACGATGGGGGCGATGGAGGGCGCGAGGAGGTAGAGGAAGAGGAGTTTGTCGTGGGAGTCTTCATAGAGGAGAGGAGAGAGAGGAGGAGGTAGAGGGGGTGGTGAAGATGCAAGACAGCGGCGCTAGAGGTCGAGTCTCAAACATGCAAGTGCTGCTGCTCGGCTGCGGGGTGGTGCACTCAAGAGCGCAGAGCGGTTGGGCAGTGGATCTGGAGTGAGGGGGCTGAAGCGAGGGGGGAATAGAGCCAGAGCCAAGGCTCAACGTGTAACCCTGTGACGACCACTGCGTAGCCAGGTTGTCAACCCAAGAAGCGTCTGAGTGCCCAGTGAGGACAACTCTACTCCACCCTCCAAGCACGAGCCCTATGCCCGATGTACTGCACAAGTAGCGCAACACCCTCTTCGCAACATCAAAGCGCACCTTTCGGTGCCTACCAGGAGCCACGTAGCGTGCCAGAAGGCCAAGAGGGTAGGCAAGTTCAGGACGGGTGCATGTCATCAGATACATGAGGCAGCCCAATAGCTCTGGGTACGGACCACTTGGCTCTACGGACTCGTCCGAAGGTGGAGCAGAGAACGAGTGACCTGTAGCCAGGGGAGTGGACTGTGTCGAGGACCAAGTGAAGCCGAAGCTCTGAAGGACATGCTGCACCATGTGTGACTGCGTCAGTGTGATGGTGTGCCGTGCTCTGTCCCGGGTGATCTGTAGGCCAAGGTGTCAGCAGTGGGCAAAGACCAAGTCGTCGACGTACACGAGGATGTAGAACAGTGGCAGCGAAGTTTCGGTGCGCAGAAACAGCGACGGATCAGCAGTGGAAGGTGAAAACCCAAGAGCCGCAAGTGTCGTCCTCACTGTGTCGTGCCACTCACGAGGCGCCTGATGGAGACCATAGACCGGCCGGCGGAGGCTCCACTGGGTACCAGGAGGGAACGACCCAGTGAAGCCGGGTGAGCGGCGCAGCCAGATCTCCTCGTGCAGACTGCCCTGTAAGAACGTTATGCTGAAGTCCGGAGAGTGAAGCTCGTAATCACGCTGAGCGGCAACGTGCAGCAGCACCCGAAGAGTGGTCATCTTCGGGGTGGGGGAGAAGGTCTGGAAGAAGTCAACTCCGTATCGCTGACTAAAGCCTCTAGCAACGTAACAAGCCTTGAAGACAGGCGGAGAACCCGGCGTCCACTTCACCCTGAAAATCCACATGCCATCGACTACGTTCGCCCCAGGAGGGGGAACACCGTCGACGTAAGTGTCTGTGGACTTCCAGGATGCCATCTCTGCGTCCATGCTGTCTGCCACGGAAAGGAGTACTCACCCGCGATCGCCTCAGCGTAAGAGCGCGGGGTCGGGATGTCTGGAGCATCCGGGTCTCCCTCGGGGGCAAGCAGCATGGCCACGAGATGAGGCGCAGCGGCTGCAAGACACTCAAAGTCCTCCTGCCTGTCCTCAAGGACGTCGTGCCAAGAGCACACTCACCCGCGACGGATGGAGGACATGTCAAACTATATATGTGTTAGTTCTGTGTAGGCTATAGTGGGGTAGCACATATGGGGTACAACCCAAATTAGGGTTTGCTACTTGTACCCATCTTGCTGCTAGTTCAATTCATTCGTTCTTTCTGACAGGACAGACGGACTCAGACTCAGCAACAAGACTTGCAGCGAAGTCTAGACGACAGGCAGCAGCAAAGTGAACAAGCTCAAAGACTAAGGCAGACGCAGCAGCAGACTCAAACGACGGGTCAGTGATATTAGTGGCTAGTAGACGCGTGACAGTAGGGTGAGCAGCACGAACCAGGTCAGACTTAGGGTCCGGAACGTCAGACAGAGAAGACGGAGGAGGAGACGGCAGGGGAACACGCTGTGGAATAGAGGAAGGACGAAGTGCCATAGCGTACGTACTAGGGACAGGATGTGGACGCTCATGAGGAACACGATGACCAGTGCGACTCTCACGAATAGGCGAGGCAGGACGAGACGCAGGCTCACGACGCTCTGTAAGCGAGTCTGTCAGCTCAGTGAAAGGAGAAGGAGCAGGCAGTTGTGAGTCGGGCCATAACGGGAGGCCAATAGAAGACAGGAGGCTAAGAACCTGGCGAAGCACGGAGTCAGGTGACGGCAGAGACGACGGTGACGATGGAGCGAAAAACAGTCGCGGCTGGGCGGTGCCAACAGCACCATTATCTCCAGCGCCTCCAGCAACTCCCGAAACCTCCAGCTCCAGCGCCTCCAGCAGCTCCAAAAATGCTAGAAGGAAATGCTACTATGAGCAACAAAATGTCTGCGCTGGGATTCGAACTCGTGACCTTCAAATCTGTCCTAAAAGTGTCTCAGGACAGATTCATGACAGTTTCTGCTAAGGCGCTGGTTATGGTACACGGGAGTTTCGAACTGGAGACCTTTCGATTCAAGTGTCCCGAAAGTGTCTTGTCAGGACAGATTGGGGACAGTTTGGGGACAGATTGGGGACAGTTTGACGAAATCGATCTCGGGTCGCGTTCGGTTTAAAATTCGGCAGCGAAGTGTCGAAGTCGACAGAATTCGCACGGGAGTTACAGTCGGTGGTCGACGGAATTCTTGTCGCGGAAATTCTCGTCTACAGAATTCCAGTCAATGGAATTCGCTCGGCGTAATTCAAGGCTCCGAATTTCGCGTCGACGAAATTCAACGTGCGACCTGGGTCGACACTTTTTTGTGTGCTTTTATTTTGTATTGCGTCCTAGCATAAAACCAGAGAGCACAAACCAGAAATCAACCAAGTCATTATCACTGCTATGTTTGTGTGTATCTCTGGCTATAGTGGACCGTTTCCTGCAATCGTTGGTGCATTGGAATCGTGCTTTCAAGCTCTATCAAGCTGCTATAGTAGTGGAATTCTACATGGTATAAGAGCTGCGTTATCTGCGTCGATCCAACTAGCGGCTTGATTCAGTCCTCCCATCACTTCGTTCCCACGTTGGTGTGGCTGACGCTCGTTTTGACTGCGCATAGAGTGGTTAGCGAGCGCCGAGGGCCTGAATGCCCGTCAGGAGCTGGAGGCGTCTGTTCGAGAGCACCACCCTAACTTGCGTGATGAGGAGGTCGACCTTATTATGGAGGGCCGTCTACTACGCATGGTTCGGGAGCGCGCGGCGGAGCAAGCACCTGCGAGTGGCCAGCAAGGAGGAATCAATGAAGGAGGAGTTGAGCACGAGGCTCCTGGTGCCGTGGGCATTGATGGAGGAGTTGTTGCACCGACCATTGACACGGGAATGATCGGGGCGAGCTACGGTGTCAGAGAACCTTCCTCCTCTCAACCGCCGCTCTTCTTCATGCACCTCCTCTTCACCCTGCACCTGCTCTTCACCCTGCACCTGCTCTTCTTCCTGCATTTGTTCTTCTCATGCCGACTCTCCTGTTTCCTCCTTCTCCCTGTTGCACAGCCTCACTTACCCACTTGAATGAGCCTCGTCCTTCACCCCGTAGGTTCCCTCTCAGTGTTGGGGCTGTAGAGTGCTAGAGCGTGAAACAGCTACTTCCACTAGTTCGAGAGAATAACAACGAGAAAGCATCGATGGGTTGGAGGTGAGTGACCTTACCCCACCCCTGGCTGTACATTTCCAAATGTGCGGCTCGGGGTTGGGGTTCATTGGTTTCACATTTCGCCCTTCGGAGTCTTTCCCCCTTTTTATCTCAACCGCTCTTATCTTGTTTCCCCCCTTCTACACCCTCGCTCCTAACAGTAACTTCGCTACATCCTACACCTATTACTTATATTTTTATTCCTATCTCATCTTCCTATGGACTTAGTATGAAGCCCACACTATACCATCATTCTACTGTTATTGCATATGCATTAAGTGCATATGCGGTGACAACGGCCAATTCAAGTTTGGACACATCTCCGTGACGCCGCTGCTGGAGGGAAGGCACGATCTTACCGCGTGGGTCGGCGCCATCTGACCTCAGCTCCAGTGTGCTGATTTGTGGCAGTTTTTCAACGGGACAGCACCAAGCCCTGCCCCGAACAACCCCTTGCAACGAAGGGAGTACGCAAAGGGCCAAATGCTTGCATTCATGGTGCTGAACCGATGTGTTTCTCCACCCATCCGAATGTCCATCTCTGGTTTCTCTCAGCAAGAGAAAGCCGGGCAGCTAGCATGGGCATATGTCTTGTCTACTTATCAAGTTCGTGATGCTCTCCACGCTTCCCTACTTCAGACCCAGTTAGCCCAACTCAGGAAAGGAGATGATGAGACGGCGGAATCCTACTGCAATAGGGCCCGCACCATCCGAGCGGAGCTGCTGACCATTGGACAGGAGGTCCACATGGCCACGTTTGACGCCCACGTGCTGAAGGGCCTACCACCGGAGTACGGATTTCTTCGCCGCAAGCTCGAAATTTCCAGCCCTGACGTGACGGTGGAACGCGTGTGCAGCAAGGTGTTGATGGAGGAGCAGACTCTCTCCATCGAACAGAGTTACAAGCAGATCACCAGCGATGCATCTGCTTTCTCGGGCGCTGTCAACACAATCGTGGCTGTAACGGGGGTCAACGGGAAGGAAGGAAAAGGGGGGAGGGAGCAGACGGACAAGAAGAAGGATGGCAAGCGGGAGAAGAAGCGAGCCCCCTTCAAGGGGCGCTGCTACAACTGCAATGAGGAGGGGCACATGGCTGCCAAGTGCCCCAACAAGAAGAAAGATACAACGCCAGCGGCAGCCGCAAACGTAGCTAAAGGAGACGAGAAGGGCGTGGCGCTCACCGTCGCGTGTTCGGCTGCAAAGTTGCTAGCCGACGATAAGGACTTGTGGTTCCTTGACTCAGGATGCTCCCAACACATGACCGGCCGCAAGGAGTGGTTCACGGTGATCCGTGACCCATCTGCAACGAAATCGGTCAAAGGGTTTGATGGTTCTATGCAGAAAGTTGCCGGTGTTGGTGAGGTTTTGCTGGAGGGCACTAACGGCTTGTGTGTGACCCTAAATGATGTCCTCTTTGTGCCAGGAATGAAGGCCAACTTGGTCTCCCCTGGGCAGCTCTTGGACAAGGGAGCAAAGCTGCAAACCGAGGAAGGTGTCACTCGCATCATCGCATCAGGAGGTCAAGTGGCTGCAACGGCACGATACGGCCATCGCCTTCACTGCCTTGACCTGAAACCGGGGCCAGCAAGGAACGGTGCAACGACAACAGCGGCATGCAACGGCACGGTGGCTGCAGCAGCATGCACCGATATGGCGGATGGAGCGGCGAGCAACGGCACAGGGGCTGCATCGGCATGCAACGGCACGACGGCTGCAACGACACGGGGAAGGAGATTGCTGATGTGGCGTCAAGCAAGCCGGAAGCTAAAGATGGAGCGGCCAGCCTCAAGACGTACGCGGTGGGCTCCAAGGCAACGCCCAACCTATGGCACGCTCGCCTTGGACACGTCCGATTCGATGCGGTGAAGCGGACAGCCACGAGCGGTGGCGTGTTCGGTATGGACCTGGAGAAAGGAGGTGAGGATATGCCGTGCACCTCCTGCCATGAAGCCAAACTCACTCGTGAATCATTTCCGCTGCACGACGAGCGAGAGGAGCAGGTACTTGAGCTGGTCCACACAAACGTGTGCGGTCCATTTCAGACCCCAGCCATGGATGGAAGTAGGTACTACATTCTGTGTGTGGACCACACCTCACGTTACACCTGGGGGAAGACGTTGAAGCTGAAGAGCGACGCGCTTGCTGCCTTCAAGGAATGGCTTCCCGAAGCTGAACGCCAAACCGGAATGACGTTGAAGGTGTTGCGGCCGGAACGGGGAGGGGAGTTTATGTCGAATGAGTTTCTGTTGCTGCTGAAGCAACGAGGAATCTTGCGTTAACTTTCCTGCCCCTCGACCCCCCAGCAGAACGGTGTGGCTGAACGGCGCAACCGTACGGTAACCGAGGGCATGCGTGTGATGTTGGGGCACATAGGGGTGAAAGCACACTGGTGGCACATCGCTTTCCAACAGTTCTTATGGGTGGTAAACCATGTGCACGAATCCACCCTGCCCCATGGTGTGACCCCTCATTTGGTGGTGTTCAAAGTCAAGCCCGATGTGTCCATGGTCCGTGTGTTCGGGTGCATGGTGCAGTACCTCATTCCTGAGCATGAGCGTGAGGGGAAGCTTGCAAGCAAGACTCGTTGGGGCATTCATTTGGGCATGAGCATGGAAAGTAAGGGATGGCGTGTGGTGGATGTTGAGTCAAAGCGCATGGTCATCACCCGGGATGCACGTTTTTATGAGGACATGTCGCTTGAATGGTGGCAGAAGTGGCGTGCACATGTGGGTGACGGGAATGACCAGCCCACACCACCCTTTGCTTCAGCCCAGCACCCTCCGGCGCAGCACCCCTAGGCTCCGCATTCGTAGGCTCAGCACCCCCAGGCTCCGCACGCACAGGCTCAGCACCCCCAGGCACCGCACCCCCCAGCACCTCACGCACAGGCTCAGCACCCACAGACGCAGCACCCCCAGCAGCACCTCCCTGAGCAGCACTTGAGTCAGTAGTGACCTCTACAGGCTCAACCAAGGGGAGGGGGTCTACCTGAGACACACCTGAAGGAGCAGGACCCTGAGGGGGGAGGGGGTCTACTGGAGGGGGACCTGGAGCGAGGAAAAGCGGCGGGGGAGGGAGAGGGGCAGTGCGGTAGGGGAAGAGACGGTAGAAAGGAACCGACTTGTCAAAGGTGACGTCCTGAGAGGGCAGGACACTGCGCGAGGTGGGGTGATAAAACTGCCAGCCAGGTGCGTCAGGGACAAAGCCAAGGAAGACACAAGGAATGGTGCGGGAGGAGAGCTTGTCCGCGGACGTATCGCGGACAAGGGCATGAGCACCCCGCCCGAAAACGCGACGCACCGCCAACCTCCCCCGTCCAACGCAGTGTGGGCGAGGTCTTCGGCAAAGAGACACGGGGCCAGAGGTTGAGCTGCTACGCGGCGTACCGGACCGCAAACGGCCACAGAAAAAGGGGAGCCGCCTCATGGATCAAGGAGGTATGAGCGACCTCCATGACTAAGCCAATGCAGCGCTCAGCAGCCCCATTTTGCTGCGGTGAGCCTGGAAGCGTGAACGACTGCTCGATGCCCTCCCCCTGACAGAAGGCCCACAAGAGGTCGGAGGTGAACTCACCACCTCTGTCAGAGTTCAGACGCATGACAGGAAGGTCTTGGCGAATCCTGCGGCGGAGTTGGAGACGAACTGCTCGGATCCAAGGGATCTGGACAGCAGGGACCTCACCCTTGGTGTGCAAGGGGAAGACCGTGGTGTAACACGAGTAGTCGTCGACAACCAGCAAAAATTACCGCTCACTGCCCTGTCCACGAACGCGGGCTGGGCCCCACACGTCCAGGTGGAGGGTTCGCAGAGGTGCCTCTGTCGGGGGAAACGAGGAGGAGTGAAGAGCGGCGCGCTGCCACCCCTCGATGCAAGGAAGGCAGGGCGGCGCAGGCGAGGCAGGGAGGGGAGGGAGAGACTTGGGAAGACCAGACACAAGGAGGCGACAGTGCATTCCACGTAGACGTGGCAAGGAGGGGTGACCCAGACGGTGGTGCCAGAGAAGATTCTGGTGCGATAGGAAGCGACACTCACAAGGGAAGGCTACCTGACCTGACGCAGACACGTGACCAGTAGCAGCTATCTGAGAAGGCGCAGTCGTCAGTGTGTAAAGACTCGACCCTGGCCGATGGGTTAACGTGGCCAAGTGGCGTCCGGTTTGGGAGCACGTACAGATCGACACACGATGCCGACTAGGGTGAAGGTGTCAACCCCCGCATCTTGGAGGACAGCAGTGCTCACCAAGTTCGTAGAGAACGAGGGGAGGTGGAGACCTGACAGTGAGCCAAACGGACCCGCCGGGCATGGGAGCACAATGGTGGACCGTGCAAGAAATGGGCCCCCTGAGGGGTTAGCCAGAAAGACTGCAACAGGTGCAGGGAGTGGTGTGAGGGCAGTGCTATTACGAAAGAAACTGCGGGAAGCACCTCAGTCAAGCATGAAGGTGTGCAAGGCCTCAGGAGGCGCAGTACCTGAGAGAGCAGACTCACCAGCACCTACAGCAGAAGACTCACTAGCACCTAAGGCAGTAGCCTCTATACAGAGGTCAAGCGGCACCCACAAATAACAGTCACCGTCAGCACTAACCTCCTATGCATACATGGCAGAAGTAATAGCATCATAGTCAATAGCAAAAATGTCTACACCAGCCCTAAGCAGCTCATGCCAGCGAGAGCGCTCAACGTCCTCGCCCATCTCCTCACGCCAGACGTCGTCAAGGGAGGAGAAGCAGCGGTGCCGGGTGTGGAACTTTCCGCATCTCTGACCCTTGCGGTCACCTGTGCGAATGACATACGGGCACCGACCACCACCCCTAGACCTCCCACGCAGAGCAAGCCACTCACGAAGCTGTTGGGTCGTCTAAGGACTTTGCTACTGCTGCTGCTGTCTCTGGCCAGCACCCGTGCCTCCACCCCGACCGCCACCTCCACCGCCACCACTGCCCTGGCTGCCACCGCCACCGCCACCGCCGCCGCCACCGCCGCTGCCACCCCCTCCGCCGCCACCGCCTCCACCGCCGCTACCGACGCTACCACTCCCGCCAGCACTCTAGCCACCACTCCTTCCGCCACCTCCTCCTCTTCCACCGCCTCCACCACCACCCCCCTCCGGTGCCACCTCCACTACCCTTGGCTCCCTTGCCTTACGGCACCTCCCACTAGGAGTAGAAGCAACACCTGCAGACTCAACACCAAGGAAGTCAACAGCAGCAGCAGTAGCAAAGGAGGGGGCGAGGGGAGAGGGAGAGCACCCCTCAAATATGGGGTTGCGAGGAGCGCCACGAGCAGCACCTACAGCGACAATGCTCTTCTCTGCTGCAAGGAGGTGCTCCTCTAGGAGGTCGACAGTGAGTTCGGTGGGACAGCGAGCGAGAAAGTGGTCCCTGACCGAGCTAAGAGAGTCAGGGAGACGGGTGACTATGAAATGGAGGGTCCAGTACATCGGAGGCGGGTGCTTAGCACAAAACTCTTTGGGGAGGGCGGCGCGAAGGCGAGTGTCGCTAGTGGGAAGGTGGGTGATGAGATCAGCAACTATGGCAAAGGTGGGCAGCTCAGGAAACAGGTAGGGCAGCATGAGGCTGCTGAGCTCAGCTGTGGCAGGGGAGGAGTATCAAGCCACTACACCGTCGTACAAGGTCTTAGCGGTTTTGTGTTCGCCAAAATGCGTGAGCTCGACTAACGGCAGGTGATCGCGAACGGCTAGGCGAGCAGCAGCGACACGAGTCTGCCACTGGGAACGGACACTAAGCTCAGCTGTGGCAGCAGGAGCGACTGAGGCACAAGACGTGTGGTCATAGAGATAGACATGTCCTTGCTATCAGTCATTAGGAACAGCTGCAGGTCATCGAGCCAGGTCTCGAACTGAATCGGGCGGCCCTCAGCATCGAACGACAGAACGCGGAGGGTGGCCATAGCTGCCAGCGTGGGACTAGCAGGGCAGAGCAATTGCAGGCAAGCAGCAGCAGCAGATGCGGCGCGCTAGGGCGTAGCAGGCAGCTACGGCAGGGGCACGCGACGCACGGGGCTACAGGCGGTCGGCAGGGCAGCAGGGCAGGCCCGCGCAGGGCGTAGCGGGCGGTTGCAGCAGCAGGGTGGGCGGCGCACAGGGCTGCGGAACAACGGGACGGGCGGCGTGTGGGCGTAGCAGGCAGCCGCGGCAGCAGGGTAGGCGGCGCACGGGGCTGCATGGGCGCGCGGGGCGTAGCAGGCAGCCGCGGTAGAGGCAGGCGGCGCGCGGGGCGACAAGCGGCCGGCAGGGCAGCAGGGCGAGCGGCGTGCGGGGCTGCGGGGCAGTGCGACAGGCGGCACGTGGGGCGTAGCAGGCAGCCGCGGCAGGAGCAGGCGGCGCACGTGGCTACAGGCGGCCGGTGAGGCAGTGCGCGGGGCACGCGGGCTGCTAGTGGGCGGCGCGCGGGCCGGCAGGAGCTGCGCGCGGGCTGCGCGGACAGCGGGCACGACGCGCGGGCAGCTAGCGGGCGGCGCGTGGGCTGCACGGGCTGTTAGCGGGGCGAGCGCGGGGCTAGGGCAGGGCAGGGCGCGGGGTAGCGCGGTAACTGCAAGTGGTAGGTGGTGGGCCCGGAAAAAAAAAAAAACGGTCTTAAGGTCCTAATGACCTAATGCTCCTAGTACCATGTTAGAACTAGTAGCAAGGATTGGATCACTTACAAGAGTGTTTGGGTACAAATGAAAACCCTAAGGGGTTGTACCCCAAATTGGCTACCCCAACACAACCTACAAATTATACCACAACATATATAATTTGACAACATTTTCTTTAGAGACACCCATGTCCGGAACTAATCGTCACTAAGTACTCTTTTACAGTATTTGAAGCTGTTCAGAATTCAAAATATGAGGAGGGAGAACGCA